ACACTCAGCTCACATAGTCTGAATCAGCCCTTGGAGCTTTCACTAAATAAATGGCAGGAAGTAGGCAATTCACACGCTCCGAACTAGAAAGTGTTTAGGTGCACAAGAGAGATGGTGCAATGACTCTCTTAAGTGTTAGGCTACTTTTAGTTTTGGCTCTCATCTATTCCCCCAGCCACTAAAATTAGCTCTATTAGTTGCAGAGTTTCTCAATTTTGAAGAGCTAAGAAACACCTACAGCATGACCATTCTTCCAATAGCAGGTACAAGTCCTCTCCACTTCTCCTTCCATTATTAGAGATCTCTATGAAAATGTTATAGGTTGAGCTGTATTATGCTGTGTTTGACATGCTACTGGTTTAAAATCATGTAATGGTTTACTATGTATTCCAAAGATACCTTCAAGAATTTTCAGAAACTGTCACAAATTAGGAAAATCAGAGGCATGAAAAAAAATACACAAACACCTTACAAGGTAAGATTTTCCTTTCAAGTAAATAATTTCCTAGCAAGAACTTTTATTTTGAAGGATAGCCTACTTGAGCTAGATCCCAGCTTAGGCAGAAGCGCAAGAGTGCGGGAAGCAGTAGGAACTGGGTCAGGGAAGGAGAGGAGAGCAATCCCTCCCTGCTTGCTTCTTCCAGAGACCACCAGGCTCTTGCTGGTGGAGCACAAGAGGTCAAAGAACAGTATAGCTACGACCCTCACAACATTAAACAAACGTTGGTTAAGGTGAAGTAAGACCTGTGTCTAAGTTGCTATATTAAACAGTTCTTTGCTTACATTGACACAGCAGGAACATATCACCTTTGAGTTTCTTCTCTGAGTGTGCCTCAAAAAGTAATAATCTTTTCTCAATAGAGAAACTGAATTTACCATAGTTCCTCTGGTGTGCCCTAAAATGTCACAGTTCGTTATAGTACTGTGCAATGTGAAGACAGTTACAGCCTTTTATGTTCTACAGAAATCTTTTTTAAAAGCCTGGCTTTATCAGTCTGCATTCTAGAAAGTTTTCAAAACCCAACTGGACAAAGCTTACAGCAACCTGGTCTGATCTCATAGCTGACCTTCTTTGAGCAGGAGCTTGGATTAAAGAACTTCTGAGCTTCCTCACAAGAAACTATCCTATGAGCAGGTTAAATAATATTAAAGACCAAGAATTTAAAAAAAGAAAATGTAACGTACACCCCCAGGACTACTTGGTAAGGAAGCTATGCATAACCCCATAAAGAATATCCAAATAGTAGGATTTAGTATAAAATCAACGAAACTCCACAAAAATCATTAACTCAAGAGTTTTCCTTAAAGCCAACTTAACAGTTCATCATGATCCACAAAGTACCTTTACTGTAACGTAACTAAAATATTTAATCTTGTAGAAGTGAGCAGTTTTAATACACAAAGTGAAAAATCTACTAAACAGATTTCTGCATACAACTTTTAATGAAAACTCAGTGAAGGAACATGAGCTAGCAGCAAGATTTTTGTTTTTTCTTTGTTGTACAGCATTGGATTTACATGCAGCATTATTAAATGGTAAGCTATCTAGACAATAACATACCTAAGATATAAACATGATTTGAAATAAGTTCATTTTCACTAAGGCAATGAGTCAAAAATTCCCTGTTAAAAACTTCTTTGAATACAAAAATAGGAATTTTAACGAACAAGCAACAAACACACACAGATATATTGTCTGATCAAAACATTATGTAATTGAAATTCCAAGTTTATGTATTACAAGAAAAAATGAGGTAACAGGTTCAAGCCACAGTTGACAGAAAATTGAAGACTTTCAAGAGTAGTCCCAGAAGAATCCTCTCATATTTTGTTCCTGAAAGTGTGTTTTATCAGCTTCACAAGGCGTCAGAAATGGAATAAATCTTGTTATAAACAAATGTATTCTCTTCAAGGGTGAAAGAGCAAGTTCACCAAACAGTTACCAAAAAGCCCCAAGGGGCAACCGCAGAGTTCGCTGGATACACTATTCACTTTTACTATCTGAATTGTTGTTATAAGGCTGAATAAGCTTATGTATTATTTCATTTGGGCCTTCCTGGTCTAGCAATCAATCAGAGAAGGACTGATCAGTGTCTCGGACGAGATTTTTAAAAATTCTAATGCCAGGCTTAGGCTGCATTTTACTTTCATTTGCTCTGGCAACATTTACTCATGAGAGCAGTGTTCAGGCTATAGTATATTACAGGACATGGAAGTTCCCAAGTAATATTACTCAACAATTCAACATTAACCATCATAGATAGTTTTAAAAAAGGCAAGATATTTAATTACAAGAGTTTATCTTCTGTGCAAGGCTCGTAACTGTTTAATATTCCTATCCCTCAAGCAACTGACTGGAGTTCCACTACTTGCAAACAGCATTAGGAATTTCCAGACAAGGATAAATTGAAAAAACTAGACTTCTGCTCTATTATGCTCATGGGATATAAATGGGATTTTAGACATACACCGGAGAGTGTTTATTTCAATACTTACAATTATTTACTGAAATAGTATGAAATTTGAGTGTTGATAACAAAACTCTGGTGACTTAAGTAATGCTGGTTTTCGGCTTTTGGGTACAAGTGATCAGACAATAACTATAAATACTGATGTAGTCTACACTTAGGCTGCTGAAATAACAGGCCCCAACTTCTCACACTAAGACATAAAACATGCAGAGAACGCTTGCAGAAGAGGACACATCTGGCCAGCGAGGATGTGTTACAACACAATCAAATTGAACGTTTTTCAGGTGTGCAGACTGAAAATGACAAGTAGTAAGATAGAGACTAAAGCATGATGTTCAGACCTGTAATTTCTGACCCTGTTAACTCCTGTCATACCCTTCCAGTTCAAACAAAGACATGAAAACCTCATAGCTATATCCCTGTTTTGACAGCTGCCCCCTTCCAACCTCTACCCCTGTCCTCTGCCACACACACACCTGCACTCGGCTGAGCTCGCCGACCGTCTCTGCAGCAACGCAGTTCCCACCTCGCCAGCCAGGCTCGCCGTGCAGTGCCACGCACCTCATCCTGCCCACGAAGCCCCAGCGCTTGCCCCATGGCTGCCTGGGCTCCTGCCGTGCAGCTCCACACATGCCTTCCCTGTGCTCCCGCCTGCACTGAAGACCACTCCTTTTGGTTCTTCACAGGGTAAGTATGAACTGTCAATGCCAGAGCAGAAGGTAGCTTTCCTGTTTATTGAAGAACTGAACTTGCCCTGGTAGTGTGATTTCAGTGAAGTACAGCCAGCCTCAGTGACTCTCATGTTCCCTACCGCTGAACTCACTGGGGCAAAAACCACAATGCCTTTCCTTCTGAAAAGCACCTAGTGACAGATCAACAGCTCCTGGAGTAAGGGCAAGTACGTAAAAAGCATTGCCACACAGAAGACAAACACTCATGCCCTTCCAGTGTCACCCTCCTCACCCAGAAGCACTGGCTAAACTTTACCTTTGCCAAAATGCAGGGTGCAGGAGGAAGAGGCTCAGTGATCAACACGAGTCACCAGGGTGCACAGGAAACTGCCTCAGTTCAGCAGCTCCTCTCCATCGCACATAGAGTGCTACCAACACACAGCATCATCAGAAGGGCAGGAAACACGAAGGAGCACAATCCCTTTCTGTACCCCTTACACATGTAAAGGCCAGGGAGCCTCCAATGATAACGGTGTAAGGCTTTAAATATTTTTTTTTGCTTTTAAATCAGGCCAGCAGACTGCCTGCCCTTTCTACCAGCACAAGTAGCTAGGTATGTCTACCTAGTTGCCACCTGAGTATCATGAAACGCCTCTACAAAACCAGTCCCATTTATCACCAATCTTTTTCACAAAAATAGAGAGTTCCAACACACAGTTTAAATGAACTCATTACAGAACACTGGTAGATGTGCAACATGTGTGATACTCCTTCAACATGCACATAGCACTCTTACAAACCACCTTTTCTTCTAAAACATATAATAGATGCACTGGTGACAGCTGAAGTATAAAAATAAACACAATAACTCTGTTAAAAAATTAGTGCAAAAGTATAATTTTTTCTCATTTGAAAATTTATATTATTTTTTCCAGACACGATTAATAGTATTATTTGATTACAAAAACCGAGAAGTCTTGCACGATTCCAATTCCTTCTCTGATCATTCTGACCTATCTGATGTCCTAGTATTCCCCAATCTTTGATGAAGAGCTCTTAAGCTCTATTTAAACTGAATCAGACAATATTTAAAAAAATAAATCTAGTATTTCTAGCTCTAAATTTATTAAATGCTTCAGTTACTCTCCACGGTCTCATCATATTCTGTGTTTTATTGAGCATGACCCATTTACAATCATTTCTAATAGGTGAGATATATCCATCTTAACTCATTAGCTGTATCATTAAATAAAAAGTCCTAACTTTCTTAAAGAACAGAGCACAGCATGCCTAGTGCAATGAATTATAATTCAGTCTGAAGCAGAAATACACTACCCTCATATTTTGAAAATAAGTTGAAAAATATTTTCAACCGTCAGAGAACTGTTCAGTTAAAGGCTGGTTTAAACTTCATACACTAGAAGTGTTGTAAGAGTCCCTTTTCTTTCAACAACTTGTCAATGAAAGGCTGACAGCCAGTCCTATCAGTCATTTACAGAATGTGTGCAAAAATAATTCAATTGGAATATTCTATGCAGCAGTTAATTTTACTAAGATCTCAGACATGGAAATAATTCTTCCTGTTAAAGGGACACCTGCACTAACCAGTGTTCAAGGGCTCACATTAAGCTGATTGAACTGTAAAATAATGTTCCCCCAAATCTTACTCCAAGAGATTTTCTCATACATGTTTTGTTCTTAAAAAAAGATTATATTGTAAATCTGAAAGCCAGTCCAGTTTGGGGGGGATGGTGGGGAGGGTGGGTTTGGGGTTTTTCCACACAATATGGGAGAAGGTCCCTTTAACGAGGAAGGAGGCAGGTATCACTTAATCAGGATGCGGGAATGGAATCTGTACCTATGGGTAAATGGCAATGCGTTCTGGGTTGGTTCAGCCCTTGATTCTGAGTTCTGCGTCACTTCTGGCGTTGCTCTCTCGTCATCTGTCCCGTTAATACTTTCCGGCGTTAAAGGAGACTGAATATCCCCTCCAGCTGATTCCTTAAGTAAAACAAACAACACATCAAAATTACAAACTGACCTGCTCAGGAAGGCTATGAGCATATAAGCACCAACATTCTTAAATGATACACAAATTTTTGGCAGTATTACTGTGAGGCTCAGATTTCCAGCATCCTTCACGGTCATGCTGCATTATCTGAATTTAATTTAGAAGTATATTACCATTAGATTCACATCATCTTGTAGAAAACACAAGTGACCTATGAGTTATCTGCAAGTATCCACTCTTCTACCCATTACAGACCTCTTTCTTACCTGATATTACATTCAGTCCTCACCTTGCTACACTATGGGTAACTATTGATACCCAGGATTCTTGTCTCTTACTTTACATTCTAACATGGTGAAACAAACAATTCTAATATTTGTTTCAATATCCAGCTTTCATATTGCTTATTAACCACAGCAAACAGTGGAAGGGCCATTGGAGGTACGTTCACAGTTTCACCTACAAGCCATTTGTAAGCAACACTTGTTGAGCGGAGTCCTTGCAAAACTTTTGTAGGCACATTAGCCTGGCCTAGCTTTTGCTGGTCACGGTATTATCCGGGAAGGGTAATGCTCCAGCTACACCCAGGCAGCTTCCGCTGTTGCTCTTTAACTGGACACCTGAAAAACTTTATGGCTGCCTCCCACCAGGCGGCAGTGGTGTGGTTTTAATCACCCTTCATAACGCCGACATGTACATTTGTGTTTTTGCCAACAAACACCATTTTCTAATTTGTAGTTACAGAAAAGTACTTCTTTTTTATACAAAAAAAGTACACCCTTGTAGCCCACATACTAAGTTAGGACATTACAGGCTTTTTAGTCCCTGTATGCAGTTTAATTTTGGTACTTTCTTTCCTATTATATTCTTATTCAAGTAATGATTTTTGCAGGAGATAAGCAAGTCATGTAAGCTAAGTAGCTCATCTCAATTTTAAAAAGTCTTAGTAGGCTTTCAGTAATCAAGTGGCAACATTAGCTCTAAGAGTGAAGAGTTTCACGAATAGAGTTCAACTGATGTCAAGGAAGGGCCATCATACAGCAGAGGACTGGCTGAATTACAGCTATTTCCAAAAGCTAAGCATCTCCTATGGCCACACAGCCTTCTACCATCTTAATGGAGAACACATAAAACTGCTATTTAATGTTTTCACACTGAAGCACAAGCAAAGTCTCTGGAAGGCCAGCAGCTCCTCTTCCCAACTTTGACACCCTGCACAGGAAGCTAAAGAACAGCAATCTCAGAAGGAATTGCAAAGTATCTGAAGATAGTCATGATCTTACAAGATCATGGTTTAATTTTGAGCCTGCACTTGCAGCTTTCAGCAGGTTTACAAGGATAAGGCTTTTTGAAAGCCAATATTGAAACTGATCATCTACAGGAAATGTTGTCCTTGACTGAGACTTAACTAGATGGAAAAACTCAGTTCTTTTAAAGAAAGATCTGGCTGTCATCATCACCTTCCACACCTTTCTGGTGTCCCTTCACCAAAAAATTGTTGTTCAACATTTTCATTGCACTTTAAATTACATTAAGCATTTGCAGCACAACATTTGTCAAAATTTTGCTTTTAGTCTGCCATATTTCTCATATAGTGAGAGATATGTATCTCAGTCTACAACTTGAATCAGTGAATGACCCAACATTTTAATACTGACTTCAAGTTCTACTACATCTAGCATTCACCAAGTTATACAATGCACATGCACCAGTGTCTCCATTCTGCACCTTCTTATTAGATTCCTACTGATTAAAAAGCAGAAATAGTTAGTTTACACTGATTTAATTCCACAGATAAACTGTTATTTATAATATAAATGTAATTTTATTATATGCAAATTCTTACCTACTTTCAGGAAGAATCTTGTTATTTTGTACTCAAAACTATTAAGTGTTAATACTTTAAAAGTCAAAATTAAATGCTGATTTCTGTAGAACAATTTTACTGAACTGAAACTGAATTGAAATTAAGTATGAAAGAAGAGCAGAGTTGGCAAGAAAATCAGGTAGATGAATTGTTTTATACAAATTATATGTTTTTGTCTATTATTACCCTCTGATTCAATAATCAGTTTCCACTGACTTTAAACGAAAGACCTTAAGGACCCAAGAGTTTCTCTTTTATTTCCTCCTCTCCCCAAACTACATTAGATATTACAAAAAAATACATACCATACCCTACAAAATCTGCATGACTTGTATCTTTAGGCTAAAATTCCTACAACATTATTATTAGATACATAAAGCCAAAGCCTACTTATTAAAATGTTTTAAGTGTGAATACATAAAAATTATTTCAGTGGAAGAAAAACAAAACGTGCAAGTTCCATGAAGGCTTATTTTTCAGTAAAGCACTTTCATAGACTTCTAATGTGAATGAAAATCAAGTGACAAAAATTAATGCACACAAACATCACAGCCTGTATAATATCTAAACGTTCACTGCCTGCGAAATCACGATGGGCTGATTTTTCACGTACAAGAGAAGCATCAGATTCTAATATTTATTTCTTCCACCAATAATACAGGTTAATGAGTGCTCTCAAACACTCACAACTATCCCTGCCTGATAAATAATTTATCTGCAGCCAACTATAATGAAGCTGGCTATGAATAAAGCACCGAAGATAACAGAAAAAGGCACTTACACTGAACAAAATTTTTACAAATGTTTACAGATAGTATGCTCCCATTTGACAGTAATTCGAGAGAATAAAAGAATTTTAGAAACATTTTTGCGATCTGTTCACATGTAACGAAGTTTTTATTCCATACCATTATAGCTTCACACATCCACTCCAGACTTTTCAGAGCTGGGGAAGAAACTATGGTTAGCTTACAAAGAGACTTACATCCTTCCCTTCTAGCTGGCAGAGCAGGTTAACTTAGTTCCAACACTCAACTTATAGATACTATATCGAAAAAACAGTGCTTAAACTGAAAATGCTAAGTCTTCCTGCAAATCAATTCTATATTTTAAGGCCTAAAATCTCTAACTCACGACAGCTACAAACAGATATTTCGTGCACTTGAGAAGAAAGGATTAACAGCTCTCCTGTGGTATAAAACAACTATTGTACCATATATAGGTTTCCGGAGGATACTGAACTTTAAGTAAGACTTACACATGGACTTGAGGATTAGTATTTTTCTACGTGACAAGTAAATGTGAGAGTCTGACTCAGGTATATTTTGCTACTTAGCAGTTTGTCAGAGATTTGCACTGGCTAAAGGAGCTCTGCCCCTACTAATGAGCATGCAGCACTCCAGCGATGTCAAGCAGTATAAAAATGATAGCGCTCACAGTATACAAACTAAATGTAACCGAGGGGAATTCATCAAAAGATGCCTTAAATTTCAAAATTTTACAAACAAAAAGCATGCACTCACAAGAGAGTCGTTAAAGTAAAACAAGCAGACTTCACAGCACAGTTCAAGCCACGTTTTAATGGTGACTAAATATGGAACAGAAGAAAAGTAGTAAGAGGTGGTTCTAAAAACATCAACAAACCAAACCAATTCCAGCTTGTTTTCTTATTAAGTACTATACTGTTTTCTCATTAAGTATTCCGTACACTTCCCTTGCATTGCTGTTCTTCATAGTGATTCTCTGTTCAGTACTGACTGGCAATGGCGTAAGTCTGCCAGCGACTGATTCAGATACTGTAACACATGTGAAACACTTGCTCAATATAGAAAGTCACATAATATCCCAGAAAGTTACTGTTACCACAAGCTTTCTAAGTAATTTTTGTACTTCTAGAAAAAGCCAACAGGTGATAAACCATGACCATTTTGCCAAAACCAATCCATTCCTTGCACTGAAAAATGTAATTCTAAAACTTTTCAGGCAATAGCTATTCCTAACAGTCTGCCTAGGAGGGCCTGAGAATCACAGAGAAGACTTTTTTCAGTAAATTACTCACCACACAATTTCAGAAATAAACACAGGTCTTAATCTCAAATGCCTGGGGTCAAAAGAAATATCTGAGGACAGATTCTCGCTTAGAGAAAAACTGAGGTCAGACTCCAGTTGGTTGTAAGACTGATGGGGTGAGACTGCAAACCGCACAAACCGCTCTGTTTGGTTCTGTACTTGAACCTAATTAAGATGAGTTTGAAAAAAGAAGAGGGGAAGGAGGGTGACAGTTCTCAGGCTATTGCTTCATGCGGCTCAGTGAACTCCAGACTGAAGTCTTGTTCTTTTATACATAGGCAAGCTTGTAAGTGAAAATGGACCATGGGTGGCTTGTCACTGGAACATCCGCGAGTTTGACATGAGCAAAATAAGTTCCTATATTAAAAGAATATAGAATATAGGTCTGGGAAATAGGAGGCGGCACAACAGGGGAGACAGTACTTTAGTTTTATATAAACAAGATAAGAGCATTGCAAAGCTTTATTACCTAAGACTGAGTTAAAGGGACACAAGTTGGGGTACCTATGTGCATAGGTGGTCTCAGAAGTACCAAAATAGACAACTTCTTTCTAGATCAAAGCCTGCAGACATACCAGATATAGATAAAGTGTGTATTATTATATGAATCAATCTCAATATAGATCACAGAATCACAGAATAGTAGGGGTTGGAAGGGACCTCTGTGGGTCATCTAGTCCAACCCTCCTGATGAAGCAGGGTCACCTACAGCAGGCTGCACAGGACCTTGTCCAGGCCGGTCTTGAATATCTCCAGAGAAGGAGACTCCACACCCTCCCTGGGCAGCCTGTTCCAGTGCTCCGTCACCCTCAGAGGGAAGAAGTTCTTCCTCATGTTCAGACGGAACTTCCTGTGCCTCCGTTTGTGCCCATTGCCCCTTGTCCTGTCACTGGGCACCACTGAAAAGAGCTTGGCCCCATCCTCCTGACACCCACCCTTCAGATATTTATAAGCATTTATTAGGTCCCCTCGCAGCCTTCTAGAACTGGACACAGTACTCCAGATGAGGCCTCACCAGGGCAGTGTAGAGGGGAAGGAGAACCTCCCTTGTCCTGCTGGCCACACTCTTCTTGATGCACCCCAGGATCCCATTGGCCTTCTTGGCAGCCAGGGCACACTGCTGGCTCATGGTTAACCTGTCGTCCACCAGGACACCCAGGTCCCTCTCTGCTCTCCAGCAGGTCCACCCCAAGCCTGTACTGGTGCATGAGGTTGTTCCTCCCCAGGTGCAGGACCCTGCACTTGCCCTTGTTGAACCTCATCAGGTTCCTCTCTGCCCAGCTTTCCAGCCTATCCAGGTCACGCTGAATGGCAGCACAGCCTTCCGGTGTGTCTACCACACCTCCCAGTTTGGTGTCATCAGCAAACTTGCTGAGGGTACATTCTAACTCTTCATCCAGGTCGTTGATGAAGAAGTTAAACAAGACTGGGCCCAGTACTGACCCCTGGGGGACACCACTTGTCACCAGCCTCCAACTAGACTCAGCGCCGCTGACGACAACCCTCTGAGTTCTGCCATTCAGCCAGTTCTCTATCCACTTCACCGACCACTCATCCAGCCCACACTTCCTCAGCTTCCCTAGGAGGATATCATGGGAGACTGTGTCGAAAGCCTTGCTGAAGTCCAGGTAGACAACGTCCACGGCTCTCCCTTCGTCTACCCAGCCAGTCATGTCATCCTAGAAAGCTATTAGATTGGTCAGGCATGATTTCCCCTTGGTGAATCCATGCTGACTACTCCTGATAACCTTCTTTTCTTCCACTTCCATCAAGATGGGTCAAAAGTACAAGTTCTCTGACATGAAAACAATGCTTTCCTCTTCATTTCAAGAAAGGACCATGCCCTCAGTGGGACTTACACATAACAAAGCAGCATCTCTCTTGTGATTCATTGGACAAGCTAAGTTCTTTCTACAGTCAAGGTAAACGGTGATTTTATACATTATCTGACATTCTGGGAAATTAAAGCAAAACCTGCTGGTAAATAGGAGGATAGCAGGCAGCATTAAAGAAACAGTTACAAACGCAGAGTTTAAAAGGTTAAAATTAGCAGCAGCATAGCTTAGGGGAAAAGGAACTCCTGCTATTAAGTAACTGCAAATTGGGCTATGTATTATTTTCTTTCTACTACGTGTTTCACATACACACAAGCACAAAAAAAGCCAAAGAATACAAGCCATCAGATGACAAAGTATATTAAAAAAATACTCGATATGAAACTACTACTTCCTGGCCATTAAGGCACTTTTCTGGTGGAAATAGCCATCTAAACAGTACCAACACTTTGCTAAAGCTCATAACACCTTAGAGAAGCAGCCTAAATGCAGTGGACTTTAGGTAAGATTGTTCCTACGTTTTAACATGGTTAACCCTGGTAAGTACTTGAACTACAAATAAATCTTCTATTTCTGAGACTTTTCTATTGTTATCTCGTTTTCTCTTTCTCCTTAGTTTCACAGCAAGTTTTCACAGGACATTCAGAATTGAAACTCACACATACCAGTAGTATTTGCAGGGTTACATCAAACAACAGTGAACAGCAAACATCTTGTGCGGGGTTTTGTTACACTAGTTGTAGAGATATTTTAATACAGATTCAATCTGTAGGGACATACTGGATGCAGAAAAAGCACATGTACTTTTTCTCTTCTAGAATTGTGTAGCAGAGAGGGTTAGCAATGTACTGTATCTGGTACTTTAATTAACTGGTAAACAATAAGGGCATTTATTTAAGCAGTACCAAGAGAAATACAACATTTCATTCAAGTTTGACATGTATATTTTCCAGTTTTGATATGCAGTATCTTCCTACCTATTAGGAATTTCATGAGGTAGTGCATCTGCAAGTCCAAGACAGTAGAGGGATTGACACTTGTAGCTAACTGGATTACCATTACAGAGCTCACCATTTTGCACGCTACCTCCCAATGCCTTCCCTGTCAAAAGTTTCCAGGTTCCTGTGAAGTCTTGACTGGCCACTGAAAATATCTCCTTCCTCTTTTACCCTACCTCTCTGCAGAGGAACACTATGCAAAAGGGAAAGAAGAGCTGTAAAATGCTTGAGAAAGACAACACTTGAATTACTTGCTTTGCAGCCACTTTTTGACAGATGATCAAAATGACAGCAAGTGCTCTTCAAATGTCTCTGGGGTCCCATCTTCCCTCCTCACTACCACACACCCATCTTCCCCCCAATCATAACTCTCTTTGAATGAGCCCCTGCGCCATGGAAGTGCTGTAGTTTGCCACGAAGCCATTGCTTCTCTTCTGCTCTAAACTGAAGTTCCTAATTCAACTTCCTTCTCTCTGGGGAACTAACGAGAAGCATGAAGTATGTGAAGACTATTATGCTGATGTGTCAGCACTTGCACTAACTGTATCTTTCAGAATAATATGCTAACTTATCAACACAGCAAAAAGCCAAGAGATGAAAAGTAAGGCCCAAATATGAAGTTATTCCTAAGTGTGCAGTAATTAAACTGCAATTCCTAATGTGCATTCTAGAATCACTCAAAGTAACATTTCTGTAACTGTACAAAATGTTAGGTTCCAAGTATAAAAGCAAATCTGTATAAGAAAATGAACAATATTAACAGCTCATATAGTTTAAGCAAAAGCTTTAACCCTGGGCAGCTGCTAGGCAAAAGCATCTTGTCCCTGAGTGAGTAGTTCAAATTTATGTCCAAGCCAAACAGTAAGTCACTCCATTAGACAGTGTCAGATTTAACTTTTGAGTCCAGACTACTCATCACCATGCCAAAGAGAAGCAGAGAAATTGTTTTGCCTATAATATTGAGTAACTAGAGGCCTGGCTGAAGTACTTCACTGTTTCTAAAGCCAAGCACATATTAGGTTATAATATTGAAATATCTATTTCCATTACCTCTGTGTCTGTTTATGGAATTTATCAGAATTTTAGAGACACACAAGAAAATTAATAAAAAAAGACTGCCTTATTTTTCTCCTGTTAAAGCAGAGCAAGCAGTTTCCCGTTAATAGCAAAAGCCAACCTAGCACTTCGGTAAAATGCCTACTGGGAAAACATCATCAGGTTGGTTCATTGTGTATATTCCTGTGGTTTCCACTGTCTTCCCTTGGAAGGACACCAAATGTAGCTCTCTGGTAGCAATAAAACTATTCGTATCGCATGTTGCAAACTGCCTGCCATCCTTGTTCCATCAAAGATCAAGAGCATAATATCACAGTGCAAAGCACCCAAGAGATGCACTGATTCAATGAATGAAGTCTCAAGAAAGAAGACTCAGCTGCATGAATCCCACTCAACTCGGGAGCCCCTGCTGCAGTTTTAAAGCTGCTTCATACTCCACGAGAAGGAATTACTTATGTCTCACTATTGCTTAAAACAAAGCAAATAGCTACATACAGAGCCAGAAAGACTGGGCAGGGTGGGATGGGAATGGAGAGGCATAAACGCCTCATGCAATTTATTTTTTCACAGCAAATTCACAGTATTCGTTTTCAAGTAAACTAATTTTAAGCATGACTAATGTAAGTGTGACTATATTAACTTATCCTCCTATTAGGCCTATATTAACCCAGTTCACGTTTTCAGATACCTTTTATGAAGTGTTCTTTTACATCATGGCTAACTATAACCAAACTCCAGAACCAGCATGTGAATCTGTCATCTTCCTCCAACACATTTCACAAGTGAATACTACACACAGCAGGAAATAAATAAAAATAGTATGCTGGTTTAACTTTGACCTGTGTTGTAACAATTCTTCTATAAAAGTCCTCTACAGTACACCACCTGAAGTTTCATAGATACTGTAAGAAAAAAAAAACAAAGGTGTTTTCTATAGATTTACTTGCACAACAGCTCACCATGTTTACTCATTTTCTGGGGAAAGCTCAAAGAAAGGAATGGGAATAAACAAAAGGCCAATCTTATTTTAAAGCAAGTCCTTTTGACACTTCTTTAGTGCATATTAGATGTATTCTAACACTTCTTGACACTTCTAGCTGACTGTTCAGAGGATTCAGGGTAACTGGGAAGTACCCCGTTCATTTTCAATACAAGATGTGTGTGTAAGATACAATGCAGTAAGTAGCACAGATCACAGAATCACAGAATGGTGACATGAAGTACTAGGCTCAAATCAGGCAACAGGACTCACTTGAGAGGGTGTACTTGTTAGCTCCATCTTTTCTTGGGATTTTTCCTTTGCTAGTCGTGCAGCTTCTTTGAATTCCTGAAATTTTTCAGCGAACTGAAGGTACATATGTTTAAAGAAAAAAGGAAAAAGAGTAGGCGTGAAATAGTACATTACATGCAGAACAGAATGCTGTACTTAACATTTTACAAAGTCAAATTCTGTCAGAAGAATTTTTTAATTTTTCTCCCTATTCAATTAAGTGAGTTACGCAGTGATATAACTTTCAGTACCTTTCAGACATAATGTACACTGTTTCTAGGTCAGGAAAATTATGATGCAACACAGTTTGATCTGTTGCTGATAGTGTTAAAAAACCTCACCTCAGAGATAGCTAATAACAAGCTGTCTTACACCGCTGCTTTCAGATTCAAGTTTTACTCTCCTCCTCAAAACAAAGCATCTGGCTCTGAAGCCTACTGCGGTCACTGTTAGCCTAGAGCTTTCAAGGGGCTTCATTCTTTCATGACTGAAACAACACTGATTTATTCCCAAATTTTAACAGTATTCATAATTTCAAGAACTAATTAGGAAAGCAGCAGTGGAAATATTGAGTTAAGTTTATTTCTTGATCGTTCATTGACATCAATCAAGTTAAAGAACAAATTCATTGAACTAGACACTTGTGTATACTGAATACTAAATTCAAAAATTGCACATTCAACTGCCGTATGAAGCTTGATTTTTATGCTACATCTATCTCTTCCAGAAAATAGCTAAAGCAGCAATATAGAACTACATGCACCCTTAAACTTGAGAGATTAAATCAATTTATTAAGAATAGGGCCTACTTTCTCCAGCTGGAGAAAAATGTGGCTTCACAGATCTCAGCTTGACACTACACTAATTGCTATAGTAGCCAAGCATTTGTTTTTGTTCTCTACTGCTTTTATACAGAAGACTATTTTATTATGATCAGCTTAAGACTGGAATGATTCTGAAAAAACACTGACAGCTTCACCAAGATCTTCTAAATCTTTCCTGCAGCAGCATACAAAGAAATTGTTTTGCACTGCATGTATAAGGCTGCCCTTTGTGTGACACCATCTCCTCAACTATTTTCAATCAGAACTTCACTTGCCACACAAGACCTAAAAAACCTTATTGTCTTAAGCTCCCAGTAAGCTATTAGTATTTGAGGAAATATCATTTCTCTCCACTTGTATCCTATATTTCACCTATCAGGTTCTTTGAAAGCATACGTTTCCTGAATATAGAAGGCGGCAAAAGATACCACCCTCAAAGGCTAATCCAGCATCAAAAACCATCTCAGAACAGATGATAAAATTGGCAACAGATCCCCAGACCTAGATAATATTTAAGACTTGTACATAGATCTCAAAATCTGATAGGTAACCTGTTATTTAAATCAGCTTTAAGACCAGAGGATTGGTAAATGGAAAACATGATGCCAAGATTTAGAATAAATAGCTGTAGACATGCAAGGTAGTAAATATGATCTGTATCACAGTGGAGGAAACTGTAAAAATAAAAATACGACAGATAAATAGATAACACTCTAAGAAAGAGGAAACAAGGCTAATGCAGTGGAAATTTTCACAGATTTACTGAAATTCCTTGAGACAGTCAGGTGATGGATACTAACAATCTCATGATAAAATTTCTGAATAACAAAGATGAAATCTTATGGTATGGAAGGAAAGGATCTCCAGAGGATCAATATTTTACAAGAAAGATGAAAAATTGTGCAGGGAGACCACAAGAGACTCTTACAAGTATCTGTGGTGGCATTTTTGCTATTCAGCATACTCTTAAATTATATGGAATAAATCAGGTCAACTAATTCAAAGGGTAAGACACACAGTAAACTTGAAAAAGGGTATTTCTTTTCATACCTCAGGATACTATCAAAAGCACAGACTTATATTCTGAACGAGAAAGGTGTCTCTTTTTTCTGAAAATTATGGGACATTCTGCTCCTCCTACTTCAGCAGCAAGAGGGACTCTGCTAGCAAATCCTGATCCTGTGAAAGGAATGTTCTTCAACATCGGAACCATCTTTCAGGTATCACTGACTTCTGACAGAACAATCCTGAGGTGGATTTGTGGTCTAAATTATTGAGAAAAGGTCTAATGAAGATACATAAATGTCTAATTAATTTTCTTTCATATTGTTTGTATGTGAAGTTGATTAGAGTGACATTTTTCTTCTATCAGATATTCTCACTCCGCTAATTCTCACTCACAATAATTGTACAGCAAGCAGTCACGGCTGTTGCACTCTACCCTAGTAATTAGTTTCAGAGGACAAAGGCACATGAACCAAAAACAAATAGTCCAAAAGTCAAACATTTACTATAAGCTAAACAGATAATGATCTGAGAATAAGCAGCTTATTCTATCTCTTCTGATTCTTTGCTTCATTAACCTGTTGAAATCAGTCACAGACTAGACTAAGTTTTTTGTGGTTGAAGGCTGTCTTTTGCTCCCTGGGACTTCAAATATTTCATTGGGGCCCAGAAACACTACTGCAAAACAAATTACGTACAACAGGGCTGTTCAGTTCAGGATTTTGATAAATCAGATACAGAAAAGAAGTTCCAAATTAAATTTTTAGGGTAACCTCTACAAGCAACTTGTTTCTGAAAAAAAAATTAATACAGTTTATTTGTTGGCCCTGTTACTAATATCCAGTAGTACCCTGAGTCCTAAATTAGATATCCTGTCCTACAGTGCTAAGTGTAGCAAAGAGTGATGTGGTAAACCTGACTACAATGCCAGTATCACAGAACAGAGTTAGTAATCTGAGTAGAGAGACAAGACAAGAAAAAGAATATAGATGTGATTTCTCTAGAGCTACACAGCAGATCCACGGTTTCTAATTCAGCTTCTCTGACTCCAAGATCACACATCTATCAACTCCAGTGACTGAACAGACTAATCTAAAGAAAAGTTTCCTTTCCCCCATTAAGTATGTTTGTTAATTTTAAAATAACACAAGAAGTTTTATCTTCATGAATTTTACTAGCAATGATCAGCAGATTCAACTCACATGAATATCAGTTTGATCATTAAGATCTACTACAACAGGAACGGTTTGCTGAAAAGGTCCTGAAGACTCATCACCACAAGCTTCAGAAAAGGTCTGTGCCTTGGTATTTTTCTGAACAGATTTGCATGTTCTACATAAAACACAGCAATCTGAGTAACTGCTAATCATACATATACTTCAATATCAAAATATCTGTTGTAGCTTTTCAGATTATTTTTTCAACAGCAATATAAAGTTTTAAGCCAAGAGTGTACTTCAAACGCTTAGACATCCATTTGAGGGCAGTGAAAAAATGGGATTGAAATAACTGCAATTAAGAAGACAGCAAGTACCACATGGGGAGAGCAAGCAAAGAGTCAAGGATAGGACAGATAAAGAACCTAGAATATTTTCACTGGCAAGGACAACCTAGCGTTTAAAGTCAGGCAAACACAGAGCATGCCTGACTACAACATGATACTTGGCCTCCAGTGAAACATTCTGTAATTAACAAAAACAAGCTAGTCTATGAGAGAGGTAAACTAAATTAGCATTTATGCTAATCCATTGAAGTATTTAGAAAAGTTATTACCACATTGGTAAGCAAGTGCCTCTAGGACACACACACCAATTTAAGCGAGTGACAAAGTTTCCAAGTTCACTGAAGCAATGATAGGTGCACAAACACACATGTAATAGTAGTATCATTCAGAGTTTCCTGTTTTTTTCTTGCTTCATGGAAATGAAAGCTAACTGATTATGAAATGAAGAAATCTTAAAAGTGTAACATTTGTCCAAATAAAGCAGATGCACTCGTTCTCATTTTAATGATTTTCTAAGTGGCCCATGCTTACCCTTCGATAGTGACAATTACTTTCTCAAAAAGGGCTGGCATAATTTATTATTTTTTAGTAACAAGCCAATCATTATTTCTTACTTAAACATGTACTACACCTTCCCTGTATTGCACTTGGGTTCCAGATCTTTTGTATATTTCAAAGATGAAAATTCTCTGCTTGATGTAGAGACATGTTCTTAAACCAAACAGAAATTCCTCATCTGGAGAAAAATTACACTGGCTTGTACAGGTTCACGGACTCATCTACCAGAGTAGTATCAACAGCAATAGGTATCATAGAAAGGATGCTCAGAGGAACTATACCATCACTTCGAGAATAGGTGTTACTGCTTTCCTCAGAATAAGGTGTACTTTCCTCCTGCACAAGTAGACCAGAAAAAAACCCTCATGCATGCCACAGTTTCTTTAGTAAACATTTCAACTTTTGTATTCCAACAAGAAAATGTAATTTTCTTTTACACTGAATCTATTTCCTGCTAGCTTTACTTTAAGCCTGCAGACATTAAAATATCTGTAATTTGATGCACTAACATAGTAGAAAAGTGAAAGTGACTGTAGCTTAAAAAACAAAAATGCACCTGAATACTACTAACAACCATAAAAGATCTAAATATAGAAGAAACACTAAACTGTCTCCTCCTTTAAGCTCTATCACGAAAAACTTTAATGGAAGAACAAGTTTTAAAAAAAAAAAGAAATCTAACAAATGAATAATTAGAAAGTGTTAACTACATACACTGTGATAGCTTACATCTCCCTCCTTTCTTTATAAAAAAACTTTATAAAAACTTTAATGGAAGAACAAGTTTAAAAAAAAAAAAAGAAATCTAATAGATGAATAATTAGAAAATGTTAACAACATACACTGTGATAGCTAACATCTCCTTCCTTTCCTCCACCAGCTAAAAGAAAATTTGCAGGTATCACACTTTGTCTTATCTTTTTACATTATAAGGATCAATACAGAACTTTTTTTTGTAAATTATTTTTAAATAACAACTGTAGTGAGCACTGAGTCAAGATACAACAGGCAGGAATCAAATATTTTTAAGCCTCTCGACTAGCTGAATAGTTGCCGCTGGTCATACTTACTTTTGAAAGGTGATGTTCAGATGAAAATCCCAAGCCATAGACTGTGTTTGCCCTGCTGTCTGCCCACTGGCCAAACTTCTGGGATGTTTTAGTAAATGTCATGTTGGGGGTGATAGTGCTATTTATTATTGCCTGAAAAAAAGTAACAGTCGTAAAAAACAGGGTTTGTGGTTCTCACTTTTTTCTTTTCAAAATTGAAAACGCCAATATTGTATCCGCGTACAATGAATGAGACACACACTGGGAACTAGGGAACAGTTTTCTAATTCGATCACAGATAAAATTACAAAAGCGTATTTTCACATACTTTCTGTAAAAGGAGTAAAAGCTGGGGGGGACTGGCCTGTTTGCAATTGCAAGCACTCATTTATTAGTTAGCAAGTCTAAGAGAAGTCCTTTAAAGCATCTGCATAGGCTAATGAAGAATAGAAGTTAGGCTAATAGGCAGAATAGAAGAACTAGCAAAGTCCTTTTTTGTCTCACAAGTGTATTTCTTTGTCCCCTAAGGCAACACCTCTCAAGCTCCACTGTAAGTTTCACTGATGCATTCCCGCCACCCCCGCTGCATATGTGATTCTCACTGGAAAATACACAATAAAACAAGCAGTACAATTTCTTTTTAAGTTTCTGTACTACAAGAATCTGTTTTTCCTTTCTACACACGCAAGCATGCCTAACAGTGACAGGGGGATAAGTCGACTACAAAAGAAGAGCTTAGAATCATTTTTCTTCTCTAGTTCTTATATGCAGGAAGAAGCACATCCTTATATACGGGTATATGTTATCTATGGAATAGGCATACCCTCCGGTTTACAACTTCTGCTAATGTAAACAAAATATGCAACTACTAGATGGTATGATGGTTCCACTAAAAGCAACAGAAGTTTTACCATGGATTTCAACAGTATCTCCATAGTTTGTCTAGCATACTCTAAATCTGAAATATGGAACTGTCCAGCTGACTTAAAGTATGTCAGGATAAAGTCTAATAGTGACATAAATGGGTTCCATCTAATTAAAACCTGATGGTAAGCACAGTTTATAACCAGCTAACAGGAGCAAGAAAGACTAGCCATAAACCCAAAGATGGGTATATTTGAAGTGAAATACAGGCACGCTTTCTCATCTGTCTGGTGCTACTTAGAGTTTCAGTCACATTTATTAAATAATTCACAGCCCTTTTCATGAATCACTGGTGCTTTGTAACACCCACGTGAAAATGAATGTCCTTAAAACTTCCCAGGAAATAGCACACACTGTGAGCAGAACAATTCAGCAAGAATCTTTCTTACACGACAGTTACTGTGCTCCAAAGGTTATTGTCAATATGTGTCCTACTGCAATTGTCTTACAGTACCAAGTTGCGAATCTTCTGAACTTCAGTGTGCATGTTTCCTGCTTCCATGAAACAATAATCCCTGCCTTACCCCTGGCAGGTTAAAACCAGTGATTACTGAAGAATCCTAGAGCAGCAACAAAATCCACAGGGTCCAGATCATCTTCTCTGTTGTGAATCACAAAAGCTTTATTTCATTCTTTGAATAGCAGGAACTGTAAAGATGTGTAGAGAGTAACAGTATTTTCTCAAGATAGCGACAGTGAGAAACTTCAGCATGAAGGAGACCAGGTACTGCTCTTCCAAGCCTAAGACCCTCTAGAATTCCAAATCAGTCTATGCTACTCGTGTGAGATGGCCTTCTGGGTGGATATTAAAGTGAGTAGTTACAGAGTTTACTTAGCACCCTTTGCTTTTGCTGAGATTTGGGTAGCACTGGAGCACAGCTACCACCAACATAAAATTTTCTCTGAATTCTACAGGACAAGCCTGAAAAATTTACAGCTGAGGAGCCAGCTAAGCCCACAAACAGATCCCATGTGCATATGGTGATTCTCAGATGAAGTGGAGGAGTATCGCAAGAAACTTCAGAAGAACACATTGTATCGCAACATGTAGAAAGACAAGGAAAGATACTGCAGCACAGATTAACAAAACTGGCATCTTCTGCAGGGACTTTGGCAGCTCCACTATACTTGCATTAAATTAGAAGAGTAAATCTTGATGTAGCTGAGGGTATCAAACAGGCCTCATCAGGTCAAGGACAGGATTTGCTGTGCAATCAGAACTGGAGAACCATCTTCAGCATTAATTATCCACAAAACATGTCAGACTTGCATATAGAAGCTGGTCAGTGAAGTCACTGTTAATTCAAACATCATTTTCCTTTCTTTAGACATAAGGTTCGGCGCCCAGATAAAGCCAGCGGGCTTGCATTTGCACTGTGGCCTCAAACTGACCTCACAGAAAACAGCTGTCTATGCCACATAGGCTAGAAGAGACAATGTGAGACAGTGAGCTGGACTTCTTGGAAAGGTGGTGTTTTGGACCTCTTGTTTTCTTGTATGGTTCTTGCCTTCTTGTGCAGCCTGGAACCCCACTTCTGCAATAACCTGGTAGAAGCCCAGAACAGAGCTGTGCAAGTTCACTTAATGCTCAGTCTCTCTTGCTGTGGAAGCTGTCAACAGTAACATGTTTGAAATTAAATATCCGGGGGACAGTGTAGAAAAGAGTCTTCCTCCCAACTCAAGCTCTAGCTATGTTGTCAAGCTTGCTTATGCCCTAGTTCCATCCATTGCTTGACTAATTTGAACTTACATCACAGATTTGAGAGTGTGCATATTATGTCATGGATGTAACTTCCTCAATGCAGAAGCTGATTCTGAGGACAGGGACTTCTGGCCTCCAAGGTTTAAAGCCTGCAGGACTGGTATTTGCTGCAGTGACAGTGGCATATCTCGCTGCAAATTAATCGAGCAAAAAACCTTGGAGAAACCAACCAGTTTTTAGCTGAGACTGCTCACCGCTTCAGCTGACCATGTGGCTGCCTGCACAATAGAGAACTCAGAACAGGCTGTCTCGACTAGAATGGGATATCTGTTTTGACAGCAGTCTGCATTTAGGCTGGGTTACAGTGACTGTCAAATTGCTTCCTTGCAAGTAAGAAAGGTAGGAAGAAAACTTTTTTCAAATATTTGTATTGAGAAAGAGTTTCAGTGATTCCTCCCTTTATTTTCCAGCAGAGAAAGATACGGATGCTCTACTCCAGTGGACAATATTAGTCCAAAGACAGCAAGTTTCTCACTGAGAAGACTACATTCAGATCCCAGCAATAAAAAAAAAAAAATAAAAAAAAGAGTCCTTTCATTAGATTTACCAGTTTTACAAGGAAATCAAGGCTTTCAATCTTCTCTGAACTAAAAGCATTAGTATGCAAGATCTCTTATGTGCTAAATTAAGTACACTTCTAAAAAGTGCAGTGCTAGAGCATGCTACAGATACAGTCAGTGTCAGCTACTTCTGGAATATACTAGATATGAGTCCTTCATATCTTCAGCTTAAAAAAAATACTTATTTTTTAAATTAGAATTTATAATTACGCCTGTCTTGTCTCGTCCAATAGGTGCTGCTTTAACTGCTCTCCTCTATGCCAGATTTCACTGTAGACTTACCAGTATAACAAGTGTCAAATACTTCATCCACTTTTAAGAATGTTGTTAGTATAAATGTACAAGAATATCTTAAAAACAGTACAGAGTCAATCTGACAGATGGACATTCAGCTTTTTAAGAAAACTGACTTTGTTATCTTTAGATTTTGTTGGAATAATGAAATAGCTTTCATGTTTTCCTCTCATATTAGTTTAGCTATGAAAAATAGGGCATGTGTCCTCAGCTGTTTGTTTTATTGACTGCAAACCCAACAGCTGCAAGATATACAGCAGTGGTCAAATATGATTTTATCTTGTGCTAAAATTGATGGCAATAATCACTAAGACATGCAGTATTTGTTTACTCCTTCAGAGGAAAGAAAGCCTTCTTTCCTGTGCTTACAGGCCTTACTTAAGACCTGTATTTAGCAAAACACAGGTTATCACTTTAATGTGTAACTAGTTTATTTTACAACAGTCATTAAAATTTAAAGATCATCTATTGCACTAACACTGACAGGCGACTTTACTCAGAAATAATATATACAAGGCTCATGGAACCTACAGACTGGACAATCACTCTTCTACAGGGTCTTCTCTTGGTTTAGATGAGGACAAATTATTAGGGTCTTTTTCCTAGCTTGTATCTGTGAAAAAAATTATCAGAGAGCTAACTAGTACTGCAGGAAGCATGTTACTTGATCTCCTTTCTTTTCTCAGTGACTGCCAGAGACTGAACGGAAAAGCCAGTGGGATTCTGGGAATAATCCTAGTGTCTGTCTGCATTGTCACTGGAGAAATAGTGAAGGCTTCTTTCCTTCCTTCACCTATGAGAAAGAAGTAGTAAACTGCATTTTTCCAAGGAGCTATGAAATGACTATATGATTAATGAGAACTGAAAGCCTTGGCAACAACTGCTCAACAGTGTCATGTCATATTGCATGATAATTTTTATTTTTCAGGCTTTCTCTTGATTCCTAGAGTGGTAGGAGAAAAAGGTCGCATAAAAGATATTTACTCAAGAGGTTACAGAAACTAGCCTCCAGTTCTATCAGATTATTTGCATCAGGATCTCCCTGTCATGGGCAACAGCTTTCCTGATACTGCACGTGACTATAAAATATGGCCTGTACACTGAACACCTTATGGTCCTAGAACCTTTTTTGGAGTCAAGTTAGAGGGAGATGCATCATTTCTTGTGCACAGTATTTTAAGAGCAGACTGTGGCTTCACAAAACATTCCACAGAATGCATTAAAAATAAGCAGAACTTGCTTCTATAGGACCTGTCTTGACTGAATCTGGCTCATAGATCCACTGATACGGAAGGAAGAAAATAACCCCTCTCTCTCAATATACACCAAAGACCTCCCCAAGCAAATTCAAGTGGGAATCTGCCATGTACAATAGCATCCCTCATAGGTGGGGGGATGTCCTTTTGTTTTGAAGAAGAATGATTTAATGACTTTCAAACAATCAGTACAGAAGCTAGATTTGATCCAAGAATGATACTCTACCCTACTGAAAACCACTGATTTAAAGAGGAGGAAGGGCATGACACAGAAATAGGATTATCACTCAAATCTGAAGTACATCTCTCTCAAACTCTCCTTACTACAGTCTAAGTGAACACGTGTGAGTTGCCATCACTTACTGACTTGCTGCTCAGCACCTGAGCCACTGTAACTGAGGGGGCATGACAGCTTCAAAATCTGTATGGTTTGACAAGTGTTGCTGGCCACTGGCAACGTGTATTTGAGACATTTTCAATGTAAAATTTATTTTTTAATAAAACCCACAAATCATCTTTGTTCAGTTTCATTTCAAAACTTAAAATGGGAGAATTAAACTGCATAGCTTTTTCTCCTTTGCAAATTTAACGTTTCTGTCTGACAAATCAACAATACAAGCTCAGATGCCAGTAGAGTTACTGACACGCAGCTGTATGCCTTGTATCAGAGACACTATCTGGATGCACTCTAAACTTAAGAATGCTTTATATTTATACTTAGCCCTTTGTACATACTATATTGTATATGCGCAGACATGTTAAAAAAAATGGAGCTTTAGCTAAAACTAAAAATTACACAAAAACTTCCTTGAAATTCTTCCATGGTTCCACCTGCTGTTCACCTTTATGTTTCAGAGCAGTGTTGTGATGCCTAAAACTATGGGTCATTCTTAATCATGATTGGGATCCTTGATCTTAGTCAGACATCTGACACTCGGATGAAAACATTATTAGGATTGCAGCTATCACAGAGAGAGTAAATAAAAGTGATAAACTGCACTATGAATATACCTTGCCAATAGTACTGCAAATGTAAAGGAAACGCTGCAGTAGACCAAAGAACAAATAAATTGATGGACAACTGCTTGACAATTTAATTCAGCAGCCACTTTGCAGGAGTTGCAGCTTTGGACAAAGGCAGAGGAACCCCAGAGGATACCAGAATAAGGATTTTGTAAACTGTGCAGATCACTTAAGGTGCTACAGATTACAACTGGTAGTCTTGATTTCATAGAGCATCTAGTTCCCATCCCAAAGTCTTTGTTTACAGAAGTAATATATAAAGTTTTAAATAAAAAAATTATAAGCTTCGAAGAATTCTGGTAGGTTTTGATACCAGTCTCAGTCACTTAAAGTAGTATCATATAGAGATCTCTGACTATGAATTCTATTTCTACATACTCCTTAATGGCAGAAATTCTCCTTCCTCATGTAAAATAGCAATACTGCGTGTATTTTAAAGAAATGCAGGGTAGTTATTCTTCAGCTTTCAATAAACACCCACAAAATCTCTGTGAATACTGCTATGCTGTAACAGAGTTTTTCAGTTCCAACCATTATTATATCATGCACCTCCAGAAGCTGAAAGTCTCTTGAAAGGATTACAACTTTTGATTACACTCTGTATATCTTTAATGTCCTTACTGCAGAGTTTTCTGATATGCTGCTTGTAAAATTACTGTTTTCATACCTACTTGGGGTAGAACCTAAGGAACAGTCAAGTATTTTCTCCACATCAAATTAATTTCTTAGACAAGGTTTCCTACAACAGCAGTCCAACACATTATTCCTCCTAATTAAAAAAAAAAACAAACAAAACTTCCAAAAAACCCAAATCCCAATCAACTGAGTGTGGATAAAAACTTTTCATGGCAAGCTTTATTAGGAGGGAATCCTCACATTCTCTACAGCAAAAATTGGAAGATTACGTAACAAAGGATTTACTAAGTGATTACGGGCACTGAACAGATGTCCTTCATAATGCTGAAGCCAATGACATTGCAGATCATTGAATGTGGAGATGAAAACAGGTTATTGTAACCCTATTTGTATTTTTTAGTGCACCTAGCAGGGAATGTCTTTTTAGCCTGCTCATAATATTAACTAAGTAACAGGTCACCACTTAAAATTCAGCAACAGATTTATCAAAGTAAATATGAACACATGGAAAACAGTATTTTCAAATAAAACATATAATGAAGCACTTAAAACATGTAATGCAACAACGTCATCATTTTAACATATCAGTAATCTGTTACTCAGATAATGACAAAAACATCTGAGAAGATACACGGATATCAGACTAGAAAATAAATACAAAAACTGATGAAGCAAGAAAGTCTTCTGAAATAAAGCTTACCTTTGAGCCATCCAGACTGATTATCCTGTAGACATTTCTTGTGCTGTCATAGAAATAGGACACAGTAACAGCATGCTTGCTGGTGGGAACCCAGTTCTTCTTAGTGTTTGGGTCAATCTGGAAGACGTGAGCTCGGGTGCTGAAGATGGGTTGTTCCCTGAAGGACGAAGAGTAAAAGTAATGAATTAATTTGCATGTAATATTGTTGCACACGAGTTATCTACCTGTTGAGCCCACTGGGATGTACACATTTCATTTTGTATGATAAACTTTTCCTAAGAGATTCTGTATGCGTTGCTGCATAGAGCAGATTAAGTGCATTAATACACATATGCAAGCAAAATGCAAGCCTTTCAAGGCAAAAATTGGCACCCAGCTGTACAGACAAAGACAGATCTCTCTGACAGATTCAGCCCTATCTCATCATCTACCCAGCCCTCACCCTCCACCTAACCCTTTAATATAACTGCCATTAATACATGTGTAACTTCATCTCATTACACTGCACACTGCAGAATGTGCATGACTTCAAACTCCAATGTTCTCAAAAATCTTTTAATACTCTGGTTATTCTAACCAATTTTAGGCCATGATTTGAAACTGAACTGGCTGATTCAATGCAATTACTCTAAAACTAACATTAATTAGGGCCAGGAACATGAGTTGTGAAACCCTCACTCTTCAGAGCTTCACACCTGAACATTTTCATAGCAACGCTAAATATATATAACATACATGGTTCAAAGTTAACTGCTTAGCAAATAAAATTATACAAGGTAAAAAACCCTACTGCATGTCAGAATTTACAACTTCTTTTCTCTGTGATCATTACCAGGACATACAGTATTGCACAGAAATCTAAAAATATTTTAGTATCACCATGATGCTAGTCAGTTTAAATTTAGCTACACTTTGGTGACAAAAAGATGGCTGTGTTCTTCATGGAATGTTGTTATCAAATCCCAAAGATTAACTTTTTAGTTTCTGGACTCTCTTGTTTTCTCCCATTTCCAGGATGTGAAGAAACATATCCTTTGTCCCTGTCCTCATTTCCCTTTAAGAGGTAAGTTTTAACACATTTTTCTGCCCAAAATAAAAGCAAAAGAAAAAATTAGGATTTTGGGTACTCATAGTCAAAGGGTTTTAATCTGGCCTCATTACAAAGGGGTACACACGAACCCTCAGAAATATCTCTACTGCTTGGCAGCAAGAGCAGCTGAGACCAGCTGCTTTCAGCAGCAGAATCATATCACTCAGCTGGGAGTTAAAGCTCTTTGAAGCTCATCTGCCAGAAGATGTGCTGTTCTTCTATGGTAGGTGTTCGACGAAGTGACAGAAAGTATACAGAACAGGCACAAGACAGCAAAACAGAGTTTTGGTAAAAGCTAAAGGAGAAGCAAGTCAGGCCAGGGGGATCAATGCACATACTAGTTCCCCATACTTATGTCAGTGTACCCTCAGCACCAATTCACCTTCTCCATCTAAATCACCTAGCTATATGAATTTGGGTAGCTGTTTTCCTGATCCCAATCCCTTGCACACAAACAAAGGTTATGCAAAGGTGACTTTTATAGTCCTTTCGTTTAACAGAATCTTTACACTATTTCCTATTGCTCTTCCAAATAGCTACAATTACTTCTTCAATCATACTTAAACTTCAGTTCTTATCTTCAATATTAAAAACATTTTGCATTTACCTCCCATTTAAGCATATCCAAATGTAATGTGATGCATATTACAACTATGCAACCAGTTCTTTAACTCTGGAAAGTGAAAGAGCCCATCAAAACAAAAATCTTAGAAGCCTGACAATTATTTGGATGAAGACTGACATTGAAAGGAGAAAATAAAAGCTCTGACCACATTAACTAAACAGATAAAAGAAGCGCTGAATCCGAACTGTTAATGTGTGGTTAATGAATACACATCTGACCAGCACCAGTACTGAGTTCTGTTGCAGTACAGTGTATCACACAACTGGTACTTCCAACATGCCACAGGTTAGAATTTTAGTATGTAAAAGGTAGGCGAAAACTACACAACTAAAGCAAGTGTGAGTGTCAGTAAAAGTCCGATTGTTCAGCCCTGAGTTGCTGCTCTCCTGCACTGTCAGCACAAAAATATTCCATAGTGTTTCTCAAATACAAACCAGAGCACTTCACAGGGCACGTGTGTAGGTCTGGCACAGACGTTACAGTTAGGTATGGAACAGGAAAAATGAAGCTTACTTACACTTTTTTAATGGCTTCTGATCAAACTAGAGTTACAGTCTTTTCTTGCCATGTTTTAACTGAAACTACAGCTTTGCTGCATGACAAGCTGTCTACACTCTGTGGAAAAAGCATAGCTCCCTTCGTTAAAACTATAGATAAAACATGCTTTTGCCAGATTACAGGGGTAATGAGGATTTTTTTCTGACAAAGATGCTAAACTTCAGATGCCTCTAAAATTAGACTAACATTCTGACACTTGATGATGAATATTTGTAATGACTATTTCTTCAAACAAATGGAAGTTATGCACCTTATGTCTACAGGACTAAATGTGTTATAGAATCAGTCACTGATGTGCCACTGACGTCTTTCGAAGCTGCTGTACCTGTCTGTAGCAATGTACTATAGAGCTAAATTTTGCATTTGCTAGAACATTCAGAAACAAACAAAAGGTAATATATAAAACATACAAGATTTGTAACTTCAGCTAGCCAATCTTTACTCAGACTTCCACTATCCACACAGGACATGATGCCCTCCCAGTCTGGAAGTTTCACTTAATTCAGCTGAAATAATATTAGTTATAGGAGTATCAGTATTAGTTAAATAGGACAATAGTTTTCGTTTTGGCTTGATAAGTGCCCAAACAATAACACACATAAAAATTATATTGTATTTTATAATCTGTCCTTACACATATGCAAATTTTTAAATCTACTTTTGCCTATATAGAGCTGATAGGAAGAAGTGCTTTAAATAAGAAAAAACAACCTCTTAAAATACCCCCATCAGCTCCTTACTCTTCCCTCTCTTCCTCTTTTAGCATTCTCTTGCTGTTCGTTCATTACCAGAAAGTATTTAGTATTCCTTAAAGACACTAATAGGAACTAAGACAAGAACTCACCACTTATTACAAAGAGAAGTCATTCATTTTTCCAGAAATATCCTGATGCTGAACAAAAAGAAAAGAAACTAACAAGAATACCATAGTAACACAGTTTGACTATTAGAAATGTCTGCTCAGGCGTGGCAGAAACATTAAGGCTAATATGTTGCTGTTCCCAATTGGCTTAGACTGCAACTTTACAATGGTCAAAGACAGACGAAAAAGAAGTGCTAAGTCTGCCCAGACTTGAGTGGCAATGTGAGGACTAAAGAAGCATCAAAAGTACCGCTTAAGCAGGTAGAGTCACACCAGGTTTTTTCATCAATACAGAAATCCACTCACTGATGCATGATGTGATCAGTCCTAGGCGAGGCTTAGGAGAAAAGCCTGCGTCCTAATAGTTGAATGAACGGTGTCTTCGACCACTCTATCCATTTTAACCCATCCTTTTCAAAAAAATGCAGACACTGAATATAAGAACCTAATGTTTCATTTTTCTGTATGTCAGACTAATTAAGGCTTTCACAAAAGAAGCTTAAGTTAGCACAGAAGGTTAGAAAGAACTTTCCTTACTGATCTGTAACTAATACTTTTTTTTTCTAAAAAAAGTTTCTGTTCTTTGACGTGTCTGGTACTTCTAGATTGTGCCAACACTAGCACTGAAGACCTCCTTCCTCTTCTTTCTTCCCCCACAATGTGGTTTACCATGACTCCAAAGTTATTTTCGTTGCCATAATATCTACAACTTCTCAAGGCTGGGATTCTGTTGTTTTAGTTACTGTAAAAATAATAAGGCCACTGAAAAGAATTTGCCTCCCCTTAGGGTGTGTTAATGATGCTAAAAAAATTGCAAAATTACACACACACTCACACCCCTTCCCCCCTGCATACTGGGCTAAACTGACAGGGTTTTGGTAGGGAGGGTTCTGCACTGTGTGGGACAAGGCCAGGGACTGCTCTGCGCAGATACAGGAACAGAGCAGGACTGGGAATGGAGAAAAAAAAAGACGCAGGAGATGACATCCGAGCACGGGTTGGAGCAAAGCGCTGCCCAAACAGGAGCAGACAGCAGACACGGGAGCAGGTATAACACTGAGGGGACTGTGGCCCATGAAGGAATTTAGTCAGAAGAAAAAAAAAAAAAAAGGAGCCACCACAGATTTTGACCACCATTTTCTGAGGGCCACCTGTGGTGAGGGGATGGGAGACCAGGAAGGAGTTGGAGAGGTGTCCACAGGGAAGACGAGGTGTGTTTTCTGTGTTGATTTAACTGTTTGTCTTCGTCTTCACTGGCAATAAACTAAATTGAATTAAATTTCCTGATTCAAAATGGTTTTGACATTCCCTCCCTACCACAAACACAAAAAACAGACCTAAAACTTTATATAACAGCCTCTTCGATACGCAAAGTCTTCAAATACACTAAAAGTTTTAAATCTCTAGGGACCACCAGCAGGACAAAAGGGGATGAATAAGCAGGTCCAGTGTGATAGGGTCCTCCTACTCAGCTCAGCTTTGCTACCTCCGAAGAATTTATTGAGAAATGAAATCCATGAAAATTAATATTTATGTCCATCATTTCAGCAATTTCTATTTCCCCAGTATGGATCTTAAAAACTCCAAACTGTGTTATTCAGACTTAACTGGTTTTGATGCACATGGAGTCCACATACAAGACTGTTTTCAAGGCAAGTCCAACAAAATATGCCTTGGAAGTCCTTTTCATCATCTTTGCAAGCTGCAAACAGAGCAAGCTCCCACTCTTCAGATTTCAGTCTCAGAGTTTCAGAGGAAGATGATGCCTTGTGCATCCAAAACTAGGACAACATCCCTGTGCTCAGAGTTGGAGTACAGTCACGCTCCAAGTTCCCTACCCACAGCAGAGATCAGACAAAAAGCGTGCTGCCCTCAGCCCATTACAGCCACGGACCCTGCCACACAGCAGCCTGCAGGCTCAGCACACACGCTCTCGCAGTCCCAAGGACTGCAGACTCTCTCAGGCATCACATGCATGTTTTTGCAGGTGGTAATTACGCACATAGTGAGTTTTGAGCCTCTATAACATCTGTCAT